GCTGAGCGGGCGACTCCCTGGCACTCGATGGCGGCCAAACATCTTTGGCTCCTTGGCGGATGCTGCAGGGAGCGCGCACACACAGGAGACACGCGCACACACAGGAGACACGGTCACACAACCAACATCGGCCCTTGCGCACCCGCAGCGCAGAAACAGTGCAATGCAGCAGCACTACGCCGTGGCCCAGCGGTTGCGATTTTGCACCTGTTGCAGAAGTTTGTGGTTACCATCCGGCAGGCCGCCCTGGTTACACTGCAGGCTGCATTAACTATAACACATTTGCACCGTTTATTTCACGGTGGATGTTACAGATTCCGTGACGTAGGCCATTTTGTGCCAGCGTTACGGACAAAGTTTTGCCTATGTGAAAATTTTAACTGCAAATTACTCCATTAGGATTACACTGGAACACTAACATAATGACCCGCCAAATATGAGTTATTTTGACTATGACTGAACTTTACAATATATACACATTTGAAATGCAGAACTCCGATAACCAATGTGAATCACAATGGAGTGTTTTGCATCATCTGGGATGGGTGTTGGTAAGACAAAGGAAACTATGTACGATTCATTGTTGATTTTTGGGTCAGACCACTTAATTACTGAGCCACATTTTTGCTGTAAGACCCAATTGCCACGTGTACAAGATTTTCAGGCTGATTTCCTGGATCTCTCCTGATGCTTAATGGTGAAAGTCGGTTGTGAAAATCGACATTCAAGAATTTATCGGTGGTCGAGCTGAAACAATACAGTTGGCTCGTAAACGTATTCCAGTGAGCTTGTCCCTTCAACTTACCAAAGTATTTCTTTCTTTTAGGAGCGTTATTCACCAAGTAGTCCGGAGGCAGCCCCAGGACCTACACACGGTTCACACAACAACAAAGTTCCTTCATATAAACGCAACCGACTGTTGTAGCGAGTACTGTTAGTGAGCACCGATTAAGGCCGGTGCAGCACACTAGGGGATTGGCCCCATAGCGCCAAGTGCCAGGTGCTCATTTAACACTTTCGGCCTGTGTCCAGTTCAGGTATTTGTTAAAAATGTTGCCAGTAAGCAGAAATCCAACTCGGGTCACCAGGTTCGTAGCTCGATGCGCTAACCACTCCGCTACTACTCCCCACGGTTCACCCACAGGCGCAGGGTCGTGGTTGTGGCATGGCCCAGCAGTTGCACATCTGCCTCCCGTTGCAGAGTTTCCTGGTTCAGATTCGGCCGCCCAATTTTTACTTGCGATGTGTACAAACCGTAAATTTGTACGTGCCGTCTGCTAAATTCGCAGTAGACGTTGAAGATCCCATGACGTTATTCGAAAAGAGTAGGCCATTGTGTGCACACAGTTATGGTCCTGCATATGTGCTGGATGTAGCTTCAAGGGAATGTATCTCATTACTAGACTTAATTTAGAGAATTGCTCTTCAACTTACTGGTGGTGGGTGAGCTTAAACTACAAGTGGCGCTTTGAGTGCTTGCACAGATGACCATTTACTTCTTATGGCTGCGTCAACAGGCGGGTGGCAAAAATGTGGCCAGATCGTGACGTGGCCAAGAATGTTTTGTGAATCACGAGCGAAGTGCTGCTGTTGGGCAGTACCTCCATGCAGCACCCCAACTGGTCGTAGAAGTTGATGGGTTTCGAAGATGGATTTTCCGGTTGCTATCTTCGCCACCGTGCATCCCAGAGCCCACATGTCGACCGAGTTGGTGGACGAGTAGCCCAAGATTCCCTCCGGAGACATGTACTTGACGGTACTGAAGGTCAAGGAGGCTGTGATTCACAAAGACAAAGACCCCCAAATCACCTTTAACAGCATCATCACACGCAAGTCATCACCTCCACACAGTCACATGTACACACGTGTGTGCATACACACCAGATATTCATTGAGACTGAGCATACACACACGTGTGTGCATACACACCAGACACAAGTGTGACAAGCTTTTGGGACAAGTGCTATTAGCAAGCCCTTATGAAGGCCGGCGCGATACACGAGGGGTGGGTGGCCAGCACCACGCCCTACCGCCTTGGTCTCCCCAGTGGTGATCTTTACACTTCGCACCAGGTATTCATTTGAGACTGAGTTGACTTAGGGGAGGCCCAGGAGCAGTTCAGATAATCGCCGGGTCCGTAGCACAGAGCGCTAACCGCTACGAGCAATCTCACTCCCTCACCCGGGTGAGGTCACTCACTTGGATAACCCTCAACGAAGCTGTGTCCAAAGTCGGCGACCTTTATGGTCCCTGCCACGCGGTCCTTAACCAAGATGTTTTCCTAGATGAAGAACAGAAGAAGGGATTCACAGAGGTGATAACAGCATTCAGCCAGCAGTCCATTGAGCATGTACCAAAATACGCAAATATATATTAAAAAGGGAGTCAGACGAGGTGACTGTCAACAAGGTTAGTCGCAGCGATATTAGGATATGTTTCCTGACAGCTGCCACTGGAAGTGAGATGATGCGATGTAAGTTGCTCATTGCGTGGAAAGAGAGGCCCTAATGAAGCGTATAGCTGCTAGTGCATGCGAGTTAGGAAAAACCATGCACACACATGGATTCGGTAACACTTTCCACCACGCATTTGTCTTGGCAAGAATTTTGTGAGCAATTTGTAAGCTGATGAGTCGCCCTTGAAAACGAGCTTACCTCAATGCACTTTAATTGGGAAATTTACTTTTGATTCTGATTCTAAAATTTGTTTGTACATTTGAAAACAGTAATACCCCAGTTTATGTCGGGGATGCGTTCCTGAAAGGGGCGACGATTATCAAAACAACGTAAAAGGGGAAGACATAAATCAGGATATTACTGGAGTGCTTTTTTGTCCTGCTTAGTATCTGAGTTTTTTTGTTTCTCTCAGGCAGGCCGCTCATAGCAACACAACTTTTGGCAAAGTCTACTTCACGTTGGATGATCTTTACCAGTGTTACCGTGCCCCCCACCCATCCCAAACAGGTGAACAAAGCGAATGCATTAAATACTCTTAGTTCTTTCGGTAAAGTCACGTAGGTAAAAAATGAAATTAAAATTAATAAAATAAACAAGAATAAATTAATTTTAATTTCATTTTTTACCTACGTGACTTTACCAAAAGAACTAAGAGTATGAATCCTTGCAGTCACGAAAGCTTCAAATCTAGAATGCATTAAAACCCGTTGCTCAATGTGGCTGGGGCTTTCTCCAGGGTTAGTCTCCAAAAACAACAAAGGTTTACAGTGAAGCTCTGTCCACTCACAGGCTTGAGGTCACCGTGAATGATTGTCTTCGAATGGATGTGACGCAGGGACGTGAGGATCGCCTTGGTGTATATTTTCACCATCTCCATCCGAAGGGACTTGGATTTCCTGTTACCAATCCAATCATCCAGAGTTCCACTGTGAAAGAGGCAACAATACAAAGTCAGTGTCATTCTGTGAGGTTCTGGTTCATATAACAATGGATTATTACGCTCGTTTACCCAGGAGATCCTCAAGACTTTTTTCAAGAGGGTCCTACCAAGGTTTCGCAGCAGAGGGGGGCGATGTTGCTTCTGTGTGTTATCCTAATTTGGGAATTTTTCGGTAGTTTTCAGCATTGGTATGCTTGACCAAGCACACTCAAATTGGGTATTTATTAGAAACTATAAACTTTTTATTTTACCAGGTGAGGCCCACTGAGCTGTATAGCGCTTTTTCAGAAGCGATCTGTCCACAAATGATACCTCAACGAAGTGGCTTATCATGGGGAAATTCAGAGCAGCCAAATACTCTAAACACTTGTTTTTAAATGTGGAGGGAAAAACCGGAGAACCCGGGTAAAAATCCACGTGACCATGGGGAGAACGTGCACACGCCAAATATCGAGGCTCTGGATCGAACCCACAACTTCCTGTATGCCGAGCGAGGTCGTTAAAATTTTACCACCAAAATGTTGAAGAAAGCCGAGAACCCACAGGAAACCCATGCAAAACAGGGAGAGAATATACACATTCCACACTCACCTCCTCCCTCCCTTACACACGCACTAATTCACTCAACACACACAATCATGAACACTCGGTACAGCAGTGGAAGAAACATACAAACTGCACGCTTATAGGCGCATCAGTTGGCAGTCAGCCCCTCGGCCTTGTTGCTGTGAGACGCAGGTGTTACCACTGCGCTGCCATCCTGCTGATTGAGGGGCATGCTATGTCAAATTGGGCAGGGCTGTCGGAGAAAAGAGAATGGCTGCCAGCTCAACATGTGTCCCAGTTGAGCCTCCAAGACTCATGGCAGCTCCACAATTTTACGACGACAAATGGTCGCAAGAGCACGTCAATGCAAGTGCCACTTGGCACGCACCTCAACAGCTCCAAGACGATGGTGTAGTGCTTCCTGAACTGGAACCAATCCAGCATCTTGATGATGTTGGAGTCGTCGGTGTCACTCTCCTCAAGTATGATCCCGATTTGTATCTCCCTCAACTGCAAATTGTTATTCATGGCGCTGCAAAGAGAGTCAACAATTTAATATCATCAATCATAATTTAGACTTATAATACCATGCACACTTTTGGCTCACTCTCAAAGACAGAAATATTGAGATGCATGAGGATCCACATACAAGTGGGAAGGCAGCCAGGGAGTGAGCTGGTGCCAACAATTTCCCAAGCTCTGAAATCCTTTTTATGTAAAGATGTTTGGCCAATTAATATTCATAGTCACAACTAGAGCCGGCTAGAGCCCTAACTGACTATGGCTCTCGTAGCACAAGGTGATTGTGGAGAGAGGCGCTATGTTTCACAGACACAGTATGCAGTAGTTTCAGGGTAGGGGCCAATTTTACTTTCAATTCGGAAATAGCATTGGGATGTTTGGTATCCCCTGGTTAAATTGTCAGGGTTTTTTTTCACGTCGAGTGGAAACTGGAAAATCTGGACAAAACCGATGCGGAACAGTGAGATATAAACTCAGGTCACCCGGGCCATTCTTGCTGTGAGGCACAAATGTTACCACTGTGCCACCCGGCCTTCCGTAATAGTTGCGTTAATAATATCCACCACATTGTGGCACGTGCCAGTGTGGAGTCTTACCTCAATGGAGTTCTGAGTATTTTCACCGCCACCAGGGTGTTTGTCATGTGGTCAAGACACTCGACCACTATGCCTTGACCGCCCTCCCCAATCGTCTTCAGCACCTCATACCGAAAGTTGAGGTGCTCGTGTTTTACCTGCGCAACAATCACACAGTGGTTAAGTGCCGATTCAATCGAGTCTCATTCAATCACTGCTAATTGAGTGCTCGTAAGACAACATGAAGAGATCTTGACTTAAAGCTTTCGTCACTGCAGGAATTCATATTCTCTGGTCTTTATTTTATTGTTCTATCTACGAGACTTTACCGAAAGACCCGAAGAATATGAACATAAAGAGACTTAATCCATGGGAGTGAGAAAGAGCACCGGCTATAGAATTAGCCTCGCTTCGTCAGTCCTATGTGAAGGGTAAAAACAAGACTCGGTAGGCTTGTCTGCTGTGCTAGATAACCTTGTTGCACACACTTGTGGCACACAGCAAGAAGGGCCTGGGGGTTAAATTCCCAGCTTAGTCCCTTTTTGTGTGGAGAAGGTATGTTCTACCCCTCTTTAGCAAATTAGGAGTGTGTAGAGTTTGTATGCTGCTTCCCCTGTTCTGCATGACTTTCCTCCTGGTTCTCTGGTGTCCGCCCATAGCTAATACACACTCACAATGTAACTGGTGATGACCAAACATCCCAATGCTGAAAACTTACCTCCAAATTGCTCAATTGGTATTACACACGGCAACCACGCTGAACGCTGCGAGAAATTGTCAGAACCGTCCTGAAAAAGTCATGGCAATGCTACTATCTGAATCAAAAGTGTTATTTCACGAGTAAAGCCCATTAGCAATCTTTGTAAGAACGTAATCAACCAGGTAATGTGTTAACTGATGTGTTAGCCAATTCTCTGTGTTGCACTGCATTACATTTCTAATTTTACTAGGTTTGTTTTCTCAAACTTATAATTGATTCTATTATTTCTTTTATTTTATATCTACGTGACTTTACCGAAAGAACCAAAGAGTAATTCCTGCAGTAGAGGCCGACCGAAACTGAATTTCTGGTTTCGGCTGAAACAGAAACCAGACCGAGAGTAAAAAATTTACTTTCGGCCGAAACCGAAAGTTTAACTTCACTTTCGACCGAGACCGAAACAGAAAGGTATATAACCGAAAGTTACCGAACACAAGATTTATGAAATACTGTACTAGCTTTACTACCCGGCTTCGCCCGGGACTTGGATTCACCACGGCCGGCCGCCTTTGTCTCCCTAGTGGCGATGTTTACATACCACACCACTTACTCATTTGAGGCTGAGTCGACCTAGGGGAGGCCCAGGACCGGTTCAAATAATCGTCACCGGCCGTGAGCGGGAATTGAACTCGGGCCGCCGGGTTCGTAGCGCAGCGCGCGAATCGCTACGCAGTCGATGCCCCAACCCACACACACACAGACTAAAGACAAGGATCCCCGACTGACCGGCTGATAGACTTATCACTAGCGTTATTATCTAAAAATAGATCTTTAGTTGACGACCGAAAGTCAATATCAGTTTTGGCCGAAACCGAAACCAGACCGAAAGTTAAAAATTTACTTTCGGCCGAAACCGAAAATATGCCTAAAGTGGCCAATTGCCAACTTTCGGCGCCGAAACCGAAACCGAATTTCGGTCGGCCTCTATCTTGCAGTCACAAAAGCTTCAAAATCAAGTTTAAAGCCCATTGAGTGAAGAAACTGTTTTCAAGGGCGACTTGGCCCGGCAGACAACATGAAATACCGACTGCATGTATGCAGGTTTTTTTTCAGCATTGAGATTTTTGGATACCAGTTATATCGTGCGTGACAACACCGTGTGTGATGACATTGTGGATGATGATGGTGTGCACGATAACGCTTCTTTCAATGATCCTGTGATGTAAACACTGTGGTTGATTATGTTGAATGTGATGACGACGATAATGACACCCGAAGTAATAACCAGGGTGGCCTGCCGCATCCGGCAAGGCAGGTATTTTGTCGTGAGTCTTACCGGAATATAACGGTGTTGGTCGTCATCGTAGCCATGGTTGTACTTGCCCCGGGCCTGATTTTGGAGCCCAAGGTACCATATCTCCTGCATGGCCAAGAGTTCTCTTTGCTCCCTGAGGGTCAGGTAGCTGCCGTAGAGCTGCATGATTTCTGCAGAAATGATAAAAATGTATAAACCATTATTACTACCTTTGTTTCCTATGTGAGATTTATATCACGATTTATTACAAGGTGCATTACAGCAATTATAACATTGCACATAAGATGATGGTAGTTGAGATAAAGAGTGGGGTTATTAAAAGTGGTGGTGTCGTTATGGTGACAGAACAGGAGGGAAAGGTAAAGGAGGGGTTTTGCGTAGGCCTGGTCTTAGTTGGGTATCAGGGTTGGGGAGGAGCAGTAGGGGTGGTGATAGGGGTTGAGCTAGGCCTGGTCGTAGCTGGGGGTGAGGACAGGGAGTAGCAGAAGTGTGGGCAAGGGAGAAGAGGAGATGGGTTTTAAGGGAGGAACAGAAGCAGATTCACCAAGGACAGCCTTGCTGAGTCTCAATAATCTTTTTAAAGAGGTTATTGCCGAATTATTACAATAGGGGGTAATGGTGTAATCCCAACGGGATAATGTCAGACAATTGTTTAGTCTTGGGATGTTTGACTCCTAACAGTTTTTTCACGCGAGAAAAGTGGATACCCTTGAGGAAACCCATGCAGAACAGGTGGAGGATATACAGACTCCACAAGCAAAAGCACCTGAGTCGGGAATCAAAGCCAGGATATTCTTACTGTGAGACACAAATGTTACCAGCCTGCCGCCCAAAGTTTAGACGCCATATGAATGTGCACGTTGGGCCAAAGGGAAGAAAATAATTATTTTGTCGTAAGTCTGGCAGACATCGAAGGAGAAAACAGACTAAAGTAAATATGGGAGTTGCAGTAAAATGGTAACTCACTTCTATAAGAATGGTTGCTAGGTATTACATCATCACTTCCATTGCACAAGCCAATCAGCTGAAAGCAAAATCAAGTGCCCATGCAACTTGGCCGCCTTGATGTCCCCCATGCGACATGGCTGATGTGATGTCCTCCATTATTTTTATTACCTTGCGGGGTTTTGCACTTGATGGGGGCTGCTCCTTTTGAGTCTGAGAGCGCACTCCATCTCACGCATTTTCTTTTTCTCACTATATATCGGCTCATCTACACACACAGACAAAATTCCACAATATAGACTGTAACAAACTGTTGGGGCAAATGCAGCCACAAATCTGGCTGTTGCTTGATGAAGCTAGTTGTAATTACTGGCGAAACGTCATACTCGGATTGTAAATGTTGTGGCTTTGCTCTCCAACACACCGGTGTGCTGTACTAGTAACGAATTGGCATGTTCTGTTTATGTGACAAACCTTACTAATTGGCTGTCTGGTGGTGGCGGATTTAACGACACATATTTATGCGATCTAACTAAAAAAACCTGTTATGGATATTGGGGGCCATCCATAAATGACATCACGCGATTTTGGACGATTTTTTACCCCCCCCCCCCTCATCACACGGCGTCACAAAAAGTCAGACCCCCCCCCCCTCAAATATGACGTCACAAAGCTCTGCCCCCCCCCCTAAAATAAAACATGCTTCATATCGCTTTGAACTATTGTAGTGCGTATTTAATGTGGCGCTGCACTCTGATGTTGTAGGAGAAAACATTTATTAAAAAGTCTGTTTAATTAAGTTTATTTAAAGTTGCGCATTTTGATGTGACGTCACATTTCTCATCCCCCCCCCCCCCTCGTCACACATCGTCACAAATATCTGACCCCCCCCCCCAGGTGCGTGACGTCATTTATGGACGGCCCCTTGGTCACAAAAGGCTACGTGTTAAACGCTCAGATACACACACAGGCAGGCAGACACACACCAAGGTACAAATGGTGAGGAGTAGGTACGCGGATAGAGAGTGGAGAACACAGGCATGTGAATCACATGTTCGCCCATACTTCACCACGCGAGTCGAGCCCGTACCTCCATGTTGGTGACGTGTAGAGCAGGAATACCGGAGTGTCTTGCGTCTCGCACCGTCTGGGTCTCCGTGAGGAATGCGGGAGACGAGTGTAGTAGGGTCAAGCACAGTCTAGGATGTGGGACGAGATCGTTACTCACCATGTGATTTACATCTCGAAATCGTGAACAGTTTTTTTAATCAATTGGGATTGCACATCGCCCTCAGCTGGCAGACTAATGGCCACTTGCAGGCCGACTGCTGAGCCACCTTGTTCCCTAGAGAGATAGCTGCCACTGGAGGTGGGATGAGGGGTGCGTGGGATGAGTGAGGGGTGCGGCAGTGCAGCAAAATCCTTAATTGTACCGCACTTCTATGTTCCCCCGTCTCTGTCCCCTGACTTAACCACAGCCCCAACACGAACGCACATCGTCAAAACGGAGATACATCATCAACACGAACTCGCATAACACAAACCCACATCAAACAAACCCACATCATCAACACATTCACATCAACACAAACCCACATCGAACAGACCCATATAACCAACACAGACCCAAATCATCAACACAAACCCACATCAACACACATCAACACAAACCCACACCATCACACTCGCATAAACACAAACCACATCAACACGGACAGACATCATCCTCACAGACTCACATAATCAACACACATTAACAAAAAAATTACATCAATACGAACCCACATTAACAAGGACCCAAATCAACACGGACTCAACATCAACACAAACTCACATAAACAGAAAGCTGCATCAACACGGACCCACATCAACACAAACTTACCAAAACAGACTCATATCATCAACACAGACCCACATCATCAACAGATCCACATCATTAAAAACATCAACACAGAGCCACACCATCGGTACAAACCGAGATCGTGACTCACATCGTGAGCACATCAAGCTGCCGCGTGTAACACGTCGAGCTCGTCACAACTCTGCCGCTCTCACCTGTTCAGAGTGTCGCTCGGAGTGGCTCCAGCTGCTGCCTTCGGTCTCCGTCGTCTCCACGCGTCTCTCCAACTCTGAGCGCACGAGCCACGAAACCGGATGTCGGTCTGATGCGTCACAGTGACGTCACAGTCCGAGATTCCGATTGGTTCCCGCCCCCTTTCGCGACTTCCGGTAACGCGTGGTCACGTGACGTCACGCGCGGCCCCGTGACGTCACGCGCGGCCCGCGTTCACCGTCGCTATGGGGGCCGATTGTATGAACCGGTCCTGGGCCTCCCCTAGGTCGACTCGGCCTCAAATGAGTACCTGGTGCGGTGTGTAGTAAACATCGCCGCTGGGGAGACAAAGGCGGCTTGGTGTGGCACTGGGCACCCACCCCCTCGTGTGCCGTGCCGGCCTTTCTAGGCGCTCCCTAGCAGCACTTGCCCCTGCAGTCTGATCAGGCGATAGAGGGGATCTTTGTGTCTGTCTCTATGTGTCTGTGTGTGTGTCTCTGTGTGTGTGTCTCTACGTGTCTTGAGTGTGTCTCTGTGTGTGTCTACGTGTCTGTCTCTGTGTCTTGAGTGTGTCTTGAGTCTGTGCGTCTCTGTGTGTATCTGTGAGTGCCTCTACTTGTGTATGTGTGTGTGAGTCTGAGTGTGTCTCTGTGTGTGTCTGTGTCTCTGTGTGTCTCTGTGTGTCTGAGTCTGTGAGTGTGTCTGTGTCTCTGAGTGTGTCTGAGTGTGTGTCTCTGTGTGTCTGAGGGTGTCTGAGGCGTTGTGACTTTCTCGATATTCCGCTCTGGTTTTTGTGTCTTCGCGTGTCTCGTTTTGGTGAGCGGCGATGCTGTGAGCGTGTAACGACCAACTTGCAGTGTCTGTACAAAGCGACGTCTAGGTCTACTCAGCCACAAATGTACCATATTGTCAAAATGTATCCCATTAAATAATACCGTATGGTGTGAAATCGCTAATGTTGAAAGTGTATTCCTTAACATTAGCATACCTTTGTATTAAGTTCATATATCGTTTTGCAACGATGTAGACATCGGCTTTAATTGTACACCACTGAATATTAATGTATTTATAAACATATTCTTAGGTTTTTTCGGTAAAGTCACGTAGGTAAAACATTAAAATTAATAAAAGTAAAATAAAATAAAAATCACGACGTTTCGGAGGCAACACAAGTCTCCGTCACCAGGTGGGACCGGAGACTTGAGTTGCCTCCGAAACGTCGTGATTTATATTTTATTTTACTTTTATTAATTTTAATGTTTTACCTACGTGACTTTACCGAAAAAACCTAAGCATATGAATCCTTGCAGTCACGAAAGCTTCAAATCTAGAATTATTTATAATAATTAACTTTAATGAAACATAAGAAAGGTGGGTTATAGAAGGTTCTCACTGCCATTGACAAGTGGGGGGCCATCAGTTGAGTTCGCATAGAGGGGGGGGGGTAACTCAAACGCGTTCGCTTGCCTATGGGGGGGGGTCTACTGGCAATGTACACATAGGAAACATCTGGGGAAGCCTCGATAACAATGTGTCTACATTGGCCTTAAGATGAGTGAGATAGTCTTATTCTTAGGTTTTTTCGGTAAAGTCACGTAGGTAAAACATCAAAATTAATAAAAATAAAATAATAAAAATAATTTTTTTATTAATTTTGATGTTTTACCTACGTGACTTTACCGAAAAAAACCTAAGAATATGAATCCTTGCAGTCACGAAAGCTTCAAGTCTAGAATGAGATAGTCTTGTTTGCTTAAACACGTTAATAGCGTTAATCCTTGGGGGGTGGGGGGTAAAGAGTCGGCGTGCGGACAGGGAGAGGGGTCACGTCTTGACTGATTGTCGCCTCAATCTTGATGTGAAGATTGTCGCCTCCCTGCTCAGTGGGTGCCCCGCAGCCCACACCGCCCCCAGGGCCTCACGGCCTGGGGGGAACCGCTGGAGCTCCTAAATTGACAAACTCTTGAGACCTGCTGCTGAAGCTGCTTGTTGTTGTTGTTGTTTCTTGTTGTCCTTCCCGCACCTCTCATGGGCGAGGTTGGCTCCGTGCAGTGCGATAGAAGTTCTACCTGCACACACGATGGCGGTGATGATGATGATGATGTTGAGGAGGTACCTGCATGATGGTGAGGATGTTGATGCGGCCGCCTGGAACGCTCTTCAGATAGGAAGCCACCGGCGCTGGGCACTTTTAAATCATGGAGATGAACAAAGACTCGTTTCTTTAGAACCGCCTTCTTGTGTTTAGTTTGTTGTCCTTCCCCCGCACCTCCGATTACCACGGTTGGCTACGTACGGTGCGAAAGAAGTTCAGCATCGGGTACCGACACACGTCCTTCTTACTAAGTCCACCACCTCGTTGTTGACTCGGCCGGCAGCACTCGAGAGTCGTGAGAGTGGCGCGTTCTCGACTCGAATCGGACGAGAGCCGGGAAATCCTCAAGTCTCGAGACTGCAGCAGCAGCAGAGTCCTGCTACTACATACACACGTGTGTGTGTGTGTAGTAGCAGGACTCTGCTGCACATCCACACGTGTGTGTGTGTAGCAGCAGGACTCTGTGTGTGTGAGTGCAGCAAAGTCCTGCTGCTGCGGCCACGTGTGTAATGGCGGAGCGCCACGTGTCATGGCAAGTGGCGAGTGGCTTGACCGTGTTTTGGAGTTTGGAGAGGCACACACACACAGCGGTGTACGTCAAACACGGACATTTACTCTGTTAAAATCACTTCACAATCGTGGGCATTTATGCAACGGTGAGAACGTACGTACACATCTATATGGCTTATCGCGGAAGCGGTTGCAATTTCCGCTGTTGTAACTTCTGCAGCGCGAGGCTTTCCCGCAAGAGGGCGCTATGCCTCACAGGCGGGTACAGGAGGCTGCCAGTCCACGAGGGGGGGGGCTGTTGCTGCTGTGCCACGTTGACCCACACGAGTACAACAGCATCCACGGCGGTGAGATGTTAACTACCTCACCTGGTACACAGGAGGTCGTGGGTTCGATGCCGACACTGACGCCTGCTGCTGCTGTACATTTGGAGTTTGCGTGTCTCTCTCCCCGTGGTCGCGTGGATTTTTCTCCAGGTCAAGGTTTTCCCTCCACATTTAGAACCAACAATGTGCGTTCAGAGTATTTGGCCGCTATATATTTACACGCGATGATAAGCAAGTGAGTTGAGCTATCATTTGTGATAGCCATGTCGCTTGTGGATAAAGAGCTACA